CTTTCTTAACACCAGATCACCTTCTTTAAAGTCACGTTTCTTGACCTTCGAGTTGTAGTATCGAGCTATTCGATTTTTGTATTCAGCCGTTCGTAGTCGTGCTGTTTCTCGATGTTCTTCTAATAGGTCGAGGTTGAGTTTTACGGATTCGTYGTTGTCAAGTAGAGTGAACTGCTCTACCCTTGGGGAGGGGAGTCCAATTTCGACTGGCACTACCGCTTCAGAGCCAAATGATAATGAGAATGGCGTTTCACCTGTCGAAGTACAAGGTGTCGTTCTATATGCCCATAATGCGTTGGGAAGTTCCTCTGCCCACAACCCTTTGAGCTTTTCTAWTTTGGTCTTCAGGGTTCTTTTGATGATTTTGTTGACTGCTTCAACTTGTCCATTAGCCTGCGGATGTGYTGGAGAGGAACAGATGTGCTTAATGCCCAACTCCCTGCAGAATTCTCGAAAGGCGGCATTGTCGAACTGCTTCCCATTATCACTGATAATGCTGTAGGATATTCCGAAGCGGCAAATTATGTTCTTCCAGATGAAGTCGGTGACCTTTTTCTCAGTGATTGTCGCTAGGGCTTTGGCTTCGGCCCATTTAGTAAAATAGTCGACTGCCACTACTGCAAATTTGGTCTGGCCCCTTCCTAAAGGGAGAGGCCTTATAAGGTATATTCCCCACTGAGCAAAGGGCCAAAGACTCATTATGCTTGTTAGAGGCTCTGGCGGTTGTCTAGGTACGGTTGCAAACCGTTGGCATTTGTCGCATTTTTTGGTGAATTGCTTCGTGTCATTCAGCATGGTCGGCCAGTAGTACCCTTGTCGAATTATTTTGTGACTTAGGGATCGTGCTCCAGAATGGCTCCCACAAACACCCTCATGTATCTCTCTCATGACGTAGTCGGCTTCATCGGGCGTTAGACATTTTAAAAGCGGCAATGAGTAGCCTCTTTTGTACAGATTGTCGTCTTTAAGAACATATCTGGCCGCTCGTTGTTGTAGCTGCTGGGCCTCTATCTTTTCTGTAGGCAGGATCCCGTCTTTCAGATATTTGATCAAAAGGCTCTTCCAGTTTTCTTCTGGTTGCCCTTGATCGTCGATATCCATGGCTTCCTGAGCTTCTATGCTTGGCCCAAGTAGAATCTCGACCGGTACAGTTCGGCCTAAGTCGGTTTCATAAGTCGTAGCTAGTCGAGCTAACGCATCTGCGTTGACATTTTGAGCACGTGGAATTTGTCGAATCTCATATTTTGAGAACTGGTCGAGCTGGTTTCTTACCTGTGAAAGGTATTTCGTCATTCGCGATTCTCTAGCCTGGAACTCCTCTTTCACCTGRCCTACAATCAACTGTGAATCACTAAGTATCAGTATGTTCCTGACCCCTACGTACCTGGCCACTTTTAGTCCTGCTAGTAGAGCTTCATACTCGGCTTCGTTGTTGGATGCATGAAAGTTGAATCGCAGCGCATATTCGAATCTTTCTTTATCTGGAGAGATTAGTAGAAGTCTTGCCCCGCATCCCCGAAAATTTGAGGACCCATCCACGTAGAGTGTCCAGAGTTGCTCTTCCTCAACCACTTGTCGGTCGATACTATATACTTGAGGTTCTGTTGGTGTTAATTCCGCTATGAAGTCTGCCACAGCCTGCCTTTTCATGGCAGTTCTTGGCTTATAGTGAATGTCGTATTCGCTGAGCTCTACAGCCCATTTTACTAGTCGTCCAGAAGTGTCTGGCTTTTGCAAGACCTGTCGTAAGGGAAAGTTGGTGAGGACAATTATTTTGTGAGCTTGGAAATACGGGCGTAGTCTCCAAGCTGAAGTGACCAGTGCCAATGCCAGCTTTTCCATTTGTGGGTATCTAAGTTCTGCATCTACCATTGCTTTGCTTATGTAGTAGATTGAAGACTGTCGCCCATCTTCTTCTTTTATTAACGCGGAACTCACTGCAGTGTTGGATACAACTAAGTATAAGTAAAGTTCATCACCCACGATTGGCTTTGCGAGAAGTGGAGCTGCCCCCAGGTACTGTTTCAGCTCCTTAAAGGCAGCCTCACACTCTTCCGTCCATTCAAATTGTCCTTTCTTCCTTAAGATTTTGAAGAATGGTAGGCACTT